TCGGGTTTACTTGAATACAATACTATTTAAATAGATTTCACCATCTGCAGGAAATTTCGATTTTTTTGCTGTAAAATAATAACAAGCAGATAGATCGCTTTCAATGTGTTTAAAACTGTGCAAGCCCCTGGCGGTCATCTAACACATTTCCGGTTTGAAAGTAGATATTAAAAAAAGCTGTCATAAATCCCCGAAGGCGTTTCACTAAAATGAAATCATTGGCGTTTGTGGACTCAAAGTGTAAAGTAAAAACTTATTGCTATCACGCTCCGATGAGTTCTGTACTGATAGCAAAACGGTTCTAATTATTTTTACATGTTAAAGCAAAGAACGCAGGTTCACTGAAACTCTAATGGACAATGATGTTGACCTTAAAAACTACACCCCCAAGTGACGATGTGTTATCAGTTTAATTAACAATATATATATTGTAATCATTTATAAGGCGGGCTAGCCTTGATGTAGATCTGATAAACAAAGTAGAAATACAGAAATATTAGTAAAATTGTGTTAAATGAGGAGTTCAAAAGATCAAAAGGTGATGCTCATTCTACGATTTTCGTGGTTTCTATCGTAACGCTGCGGCACTCTGACGTTTAAAGTTATTATATTTTGAATTTAAAGCGCTGTTCAATTTTGAGTGAATCGGGTCGATATTTTAGAACAGACTACAAAACTTGTGCGTCATTTTAGAGGAGTATGATTCAATATGGATGTTAGGAGTGTAACTTTTTCTGTAGCTGGTTGAGATAAAATTGATCGAATGCTGGAAAGACGATGGGAACTAGTCGCTAGTATATCCGAACCCCAATCAAGCCGAAATGCGACAACGGAACCCATTTCCGCTAAAATTAGAATTGTTTTAATCAACGTCTATTTTTGGCGATTTGAGGGTTATTTTCAACAATTAATACATTTTAACAATGAATGATGAAATTATATACCAATTGCAGACACTTTGACTAAAGAAAAAATGGGCCGTTTAGTGGCACATCCGTACGATTAAGATCACACTCGAATGTCATTGGTATTGCCTCACATTGCGGATGAAGGAGGCAACTATTAAATACAGGCGCGGTTGTATTCATCCCATTCAACGTACACTGTTATGCAATACTCGCTGAATCTGAAGGAGAAGGTCCAAGTTCAGGTCACATTTCACGTAATTGTGTCATTCATTGTCAGCCAGTCAGATGACTCGGCAACAACGTATCATAAATGTGAAGGTCTTAGAAGATGTTTTATTTGTCTGTGAATAAACTGTACATATTTCGTGGTCTTCATTGGGTTGTCAGGGGGTAATATCATTTCCATAGAAACATACGGGTCTATTGAGATGTAATTAATCTTATCTCACAATGACTCGTTAGCTTTGTATTCCTTCTCATTTTCTACTCTGATGAAAATGGGTGGAAATAAACAGCATTGGAAATAAACCTAACATTGAAAGGTCTACAAACATACGTTCATCTGTTATTAATTATATCATGGAGCTTCTTTCTAGCTTGTTAATTACATTGTGAATCTAATCCGTCAGCTGAGATTGGTATGAGACACAATCAAAGTGTTTTTTTCGTTTGGAAATACATTACATTCTCTGTGTTTAATTGCTTTTTCAGATTGAATTCACTGTCATTTTTGTGTGTGATTGTGAAATGTAAAAAGTGGTCAAATATGATACGCTTAAACGGAAACGGGCTTTGAAATGAAACCGACCACACGTGTTTTCATTTATTGTGTATTTTATTGTGTTAATGTTATTACTACCTTGAACATAGATGTCAGGTTGTTTTAACGTGTTCAATGTGTGATGAATTTGCCGCAGATCAGTCCTATTTTTTTTAGTTTGAATGTGTTTTTGCTGAACGTGGTAAACACCAGAGCGTTCGTGCGAACAGTCTTATACGTCAACTAAATGGGCAACTTTTCGTTGGAATTCTCAACACGTGGATCAAATTGTAGTCACGTGACCCATATTGGGATTTCCAAACTACCTATCTCCTTGTTCAAACATGTCGATACTAGTTCGACTAGCAGATCCTTTCATTTTGTATACTTTATGCCCAGTCCACTCATTGAACGTGCCAAGTCTACATATGCCTATAGATCTTAGCGCATGCTCATACGCTCATTGAATGTGTCACAAATACGTATGCCTATAGTTTGCTCAGCGAATATGTTATACATATATATGTATGTAGTTCGTTCATTGGGCATCTCAAATATAAATGCCTATAATTTTCTCAGCGAGTGTGTTAATTCTGTGTATGCCCGTAGTCCGTCCATTGAATGTGGCAAATATACATTTGCCAATAGTTCATTTATCGGATGTGTCAAATCTCCAAAAGTATACGTCGCTGATTGTCAAATCTACATAAAACTATAGTAGAGAAATTGAATGTGTAAAATATGTGTACCCTCATAATTCGCCAATTGAATGGGTTGAATGTACATATGTCTAGTTCATTTAAAGTTTATTCAAAATATTCATAGTCACTCATTGAATGAGTTTAATTTTCATATTTCCAATTTAATCAATGTAAGTGATTATTCAACGTAAGTCTAAGTCACTCATTGGATGTGTCTAATTTAAATATTGAATTTGTCTAATTTCGAAATGTCTTGTTAACTCATTGTAATTGTTTAATCAACGTATGTATAGTTCACCAATTAAATGTATCTAAATTAAATGTATTTAAGTGTATTTCGCCGATTGTCAAATCTATATGAAACTATAGTTGAGTGTATCTAATCACTCATAGAAAGTTGTGTAGTCCACGCAACGAAAATTTCTAAACTACATAATTCTGGTTTATTGATTGACAAAACAACTTCCAAATTACCTATATATGTACCTTGATTGTTACCTAATTAGGCTAGTTTTTATCCGGATAGCATGGTTGCGTAATTTTTATTTACGATTAATGATTGTGTCACTGATATATCAGTATGATTCAAGTAATATCAATTTGATAATCAAAAGAAAGCTAAGAAAGAACTATGAGAATTCTGTACTGAGAGTATTGAAGACATTAAAAATTAATTAGCCTTCCAAACAAAAAGATTGGCACCTAATATTTGTCAGCTATTTGAAATGAAAAATATGAAAACAATATGATCCACAATTACAGAAAATAAATTCGATTGAACATCTCTGGTTTGCAGTCAAATTCAAAGTTTATTCCAGAGCATCTTTAAATTCAATTTTTTTGAGATTTATTTGAAACTTAATATGCACGGCTATTAACCTAAAACCAATCAGGTCTGTGAATTGTCATATGACATCTATGTACGAAGTTTCATTGAAATGTGACGATTAGTACTTGAGATATCAGTGGAATGGCCGATAGTTGAGTAATCATTATGCAAATTAGGTAATTAATATGCATGGTTTCACGTCTGCGCATTGACCCATGGCATCTATCTACCGAGTTTCTTCAAAATCCATTGCGTGGTTCTTTAGATATCAGCGGAACAGTCATGGAACAGCTGTAGTTTAATATGATGGCATACAATGTTGTGACACTTGATGGCGTGTAGTGTATGTGAGTGTAAGTTTGTAAGTTTTAGATTTCTAGATAACAGGATTTTCATTCAGGCGTTTGTCTACTCATAGTAACAATAACATAACAGGTAGTATGTGACATGCACAGACCGTCGCACTATTAATGTTGTGTCTGATTCCTAAACCTCTGGTGAAGCAAGTCAATTGTACTTTTTATACCACTAGACTGCAGCTCGTGAACAACGGGAAGAGGTCAACCACTACGTACTACGCAACATTGCTATGAGCCCCCTTTCCGGTCCTTCGGGGCATATGTGGAAATCCTATCAATAACAAGCACTGGGCCAAGTAGTAGTGAGCAGTAATGTAATCATGTCGGTGCGTTTGATATCGAACAGAGCGTGGTGTCGATTTCAATAGTATAGTCATGTGACACGCATAAGTATTTGAATTTATGTCACAAATATCCCTCAATATAATAATAATATAATGAAAAAAGGTTCCAGTGACGATTACTCTAAGTACCCGGATATATACTCAAACACTCGTATTGTCAACTAATCGTTTAACGAATCGTTTATTGAATCACTTAGCACAAGTAATACCACGTGATACTAATAACATTTATATATTGTACCAGAATGAACAGAAACAAATTAAAATGTTTACCGTCATAAATTCCCTAGAAATAATGCATACTGGTGTTATTGGCACCAGATGACGTTTTTATTATTACTATTTGGGAGAACAGAAATAACAAACATACGCACACATACTCACGGTGACAATGCCTCATATTCCCATGATGCAACATTTTAAAGAAGTTGAGCTGCTGTACAAGTTAAGTTAGTGTATACAGCAAACTGCCAATGGATGACGTGCTTCGGGACGAAGGAATTGTTTTAAAATGTCATCTTTCAAAATTATGTAGAGACGTAGTCAATATGAACAATTATATACATAACATTAAATGCATTATATTTGTCACATGACACGAGTGTGATTTTTAATTAATGAATCTCTCACATCGCATTGTACTGTTCACACCAATAAATAATGAAATAAATAATTTATGTATAACTGTTGAATGTCAGTGCTTTGAAAATGACGGGAAAAAAATCAAATAGATCATGAACCAGAAATGCTAATACAGATTGTTTAAAACTATGTAATATTAAGCTTTCTGAATATGCAGGGTTTCCATATTTATATTAATAGCATACAATACTATTAATTATTTTGTTTCATAATTCAGAAGACAGATTTGTTTTTGAGAGAAATAAAATGATTAGTAATGTTAAATATTTCAGTTTAAATTTGGACAATCATTTTTTCAAATGTTTCCGCCTACGTCCGTCCAAATAACCATCTTCTTTTCCGTCCACGTTTGTCCAAATCTCAGTCTTTGTTCCGGTTCACGACCGTATCAATCTCCATTATCGTCCTCATACTCGTACTACGACAAAAAAAGTTTTCAACTGCGAAAGTGCTCGGCGTCATCACCATAAACTGTAAAAGGTTCAACTGTTTTGAAACATATCACACAGAAGCCTCTCTATTGGTATACTCCCTATAGTATCACGGAAAAACAACATTTCCAGTGTTCTAGAGCTAATACTCCGTAATGATGGTAGCATTAGAAGGCATTTCCCAAATCGTACTGGCTGTCTTGCATATTGATGACGTAGGTAGTCTCCCAGCATGACTTGCGCTTGGTCTTGCAGTGTTTCCACTTGGTGCGCATCACGAAGACCATGAGTTTCTGAATAAAACACAACACATACTTCTCTGTGAATAATTGTATAGGTCGTTTAACGTGGCATTGACCAATACAGAAATGGATTGGCGGGAAATATTGTGAAAGATGTAACGTTTAACAACATCTGGAAATCTGTCGTCAGAAATGTGAAGTATAAGCACATTATATAGTGCACAAACTTTTCAAAATCTCTGGGATAATTAGTATACTGATGGGGTTTTAACCCCTCTCTTTTTTATTGCTTTATACACCGGCCAGGTGATTTCCTGTAACAATACTAAGTGACAAGCTTTAAAGCGGGATGGTCGTCACATGCGCACGCGCGGGAATTGAGTCCCAAGCGACGATAACAACACACTCTAAAAACGCAAAGGGGCATGGATAGACGCTTGTTTGTAAACAATGACACGCTGTGGTCATTTGACGCATGCGTAGGTGGAGACTCACCTGCTTTAACGTTTAAATGTTGTTGAGAGGATGGAGAACTTTCACTCAGCAAAATATTCTAATTTTCTGCATATTTGCTATTGAGTACTAGTATAACATTCATCGACAGCGGTAATCTACACACGAATTGACGTTTTGCAGTGAGCAACTTTGAACAAGATTAGTCATAAAACAAAAATGGCGTACCTGATTTGAATATTGATATGGCTTTTAGACATGCGTACTCTGTGGCATCCAATCCCATTTTCTGCAGTCTGCGCACATTGTCCTGCATGTGACGCACTTCCGTCATAATTTGAGAAAGCTTTTCTTGAGGCGTGTTTTCTGAGCTGAGCTTAGCGAGTGATAATATCGATTTCTCATCCATAGGAACAGACCACTGCGACAAACCCAACATAAATAAGTCCCGCCAACCTTCCTCCAAAAGAATTAACTGAAAACAAACACAGATATCAGAATGAGCTTTATTCCAATTATGGCGGGCGATATTTCGTGAGAACACGTTAAATAATTATACCATCCTTTCAATATATTCTATTTTGAATCGATATGAGCATTATGCGTTTTTAGTAGCGTGTCATTTACAGTCCCATCATAAAAGGTACATGCACGGTTTGCGGTACAAAAATAAACGCAGCGTGTTTCTTCATATGTTTCAAAGCAACCGGTAACGAGGTTGAATATTTCGTTCACGCACGCTATACTTTTGGTGGCGTTGGTGTGAAATCTGCAAGCAATATATCCGCGTTCAGGAGTATAAATAACTAAAAAATAGATTTGAAAAAACATGGTTCAACACCGAGACGGGACCCCTGCAACAAAATTATAATGTGGGGAAAACAGGTGGTAATGGATAGTTTGGGGTGAAACTGTAAATATATTTTAACAATCTAGTATCGTCTTACGCGTGTAACCATGAGTTGGCGTGCGCCCTCAAACGTTTTGAGGCGACTCCCCGAGGAATTTAAATTACTGAAATGTGATATTAAATTTAATTGTTACCTGGTCTCTATACGGTAGTATTTGATATGAAGGCATGTGTTTGACCCATTTCACAGTTATAAATAATAGTCTGGCAGCGATCTCCGGCAAACACTCGGGTGTAATTTTCATGTCAACCGAACTTTCACCAAATTCCATTTTGACTCTGGAATTCAAATCCAATGCAAGGGGATTCAAATTGTACTGTTCAGCTGTCAGAAGGCTGTGATAAAAAGTACCATAGTACGAGGCTGCTGAAGTGACGTAATCCATCGTCGGGGGTACTCGGGAATATTCGGTAGTTCTTAGCTGGAGTGCCGATACACTGAAACTGGTGTCCCCTTCATTAATCTTCGCCTTTGTCTTCCGTGGACCTCGTTCGTGTTGGACAGCTGCAAGAAATATGAGATAAAAATATCTTTCAGATAAATCGTGATTGACTCAATTTTGTGAGATTTCATAAAAAGCGACAAATGCGCCACTTTTGGATTAGATGTTTGATAAACGTGATGTACTGGCTACCAGCTGCTATGATTACAACCAATATCTATTATGCGATATCTCTTAGTAGTAACATCATATAACGCAGCACTTTACTGCAGCACTAACGGTGTTTATAAAACATTCAAAGTCAATCATTGATGTGGGGAAACTTTTAACATATTTTGCTCATTTTATCCCAAAAGATATGTCCATGGATGAAATAGCACACCGTATTATATTATATTATATTATATTATATTATATTATATTATATTATATTATATTATATTATATTATATTATATTATATTATATTATATTATATTATATTATATTATATTATATTATATTATATTATATTATATTATATTATA